ATGATGCAGTGATACATTACGTTTTCTTCAGCATTTTTCTGAACTCCTCAGGGTCACTTTTGGGGACTGAAAAATGAGACATATTTTAAGTTATTTTGACACTGAACTCTTTTAACCAATCAATAGGTCTTCTGTTTATTTCATTTCAAGCATCATTAGCTCTGAGTTACATACATACCTGACTTTCTTTTCTTGAATCCAACTGAAAGGAAGAGAAACAGATTGATTCATGCCTATGATACTTTTATTTGAATCATAAATGGAAGACTAAGATCATGTTCAAATTAACTTTATGAATTTCCTACCTTCAATGACATTAAGTGCAGCAGTACAAACAGCTTTTCCAAATGGATTTATAACAAGACATTTGTATGTGTCTGCTTGATCTGAATCTACATTTGGTATCTAAAGAAAGGAGTATTATAGGAGTAAATATTTTCAAGGAAAGCAAAACCAAGAAATAAACTTAATTATAAATAAATTATATAAATAATGCATAAATAAATTTTATATTATTTATATAAAATATATTATCTTCTTCTTAACTATCAATATCAATTGGTACTAATGGTACAATTTAGAACAGAAATTTTAAACAGCTGATAACATGATACTTCACATTTTCATTTCACCTCCAGAATATATTCTCCATTCTTCTCTTCGTATCGTGAAACATATTTCGTTGGATTAGAGATGTCTCCCTTGTTACGTCCCCATGAAACTTCCGGTGCTGGATTTCCATTAACAACAGCTTTGAAAAAGGCCAGTTTTCCTGCAGGTACGGAACAGTGATGTTATATCAAGGACAGACAGACAGACAGATAGACAGACAGATAGATAGATAGATAGATAGATAGATAGATAGATAGATAGATAGATAGATAGATAGATAGATAGATAGATAGATAGATAGATAGATAGATAGATAGATAGATAGATAGATAGATAGATAGATAGATAGATAGATAGATAGATAGATAGATATGAGTACAGATAGATTAAATTACAAAAAATAAATATTGATTTTTTTCTTTTTTATTTAAAAGAAATTATCATGTTTAAATTCTATCATCAATCCAAATTGGTAAAAAAATGGTAAAAAAATGAAGAAAACTATTACCTTCCTGTAGCGTTAAGGCTATGGGTTTTCTGATGAAATCAGGAGTAGTACATCCAGGTGGCAGTTCCTTAACATACTGTGTGATCATAACACCAGGCACTCTGGATCTCTTCCTAATTGCCACTGAAGAAGCCGAACAGTATTTTCAGTATTTTGTATTTATTTATGTGTACATATGCGAGTATGGGTGTAGGTGTGCATATGTATATTATGTATGTATAGACATATGTGTATGTAAGGGCTAAATGTTGTCATGCATCTTAATACTGCAATATGTTTTATGGATTTGTTTCCAATAAGGAGTTGGTGGGCCGGGCGAGGGGGGATGAGGTAGAGCTTTAGTGAGAGTGAATGTATATGTGCTGTATTATCTTTGTCTTTGTCTCGAGGACCCCCTCGAAAACGAGATGTTTCATCTCAAGGTGTTATCCTCAACAATAAATTCACTAAATTCACTAATTCCATGATGTTTAATTTGGTAAAACAGTGGAATATGTTTTCTTGAATCTATACAGAGTCAAGGCCAACAAACATCAAATGGCGTATTTATGTGAATGACTTCACTTCATATAAATTAATGCAACATGCGTCAGGAAAGTGTTGCAGGATCTTTGAAGCTGTGGACTTGTTGTTGACCACATGATGGCGATGTTTTATCACAACCTCCATCATGAATACTTTCTGATCCGGACATCTATTAGACTGCTTGATTAACAACAAGGCCATCGATGATGGAACAAAGCAAATCTACAGTAAATGATTCTGATGGTTTAAAGAATTTTGTCATTTGGCATGTCTCATATCATGATTTTAACTTACCGCCCGTTCCTTCTGCTGGCTTTGGCATCTTCAAAATGCAAGATTTGCCTTTAAATTCAGAATTCGTAATAGTTGCAGTGTCTTATAAAAAGAGAAAAGAGAGGGCAAAAAACATTCAATTGCACATGTAATCATTATTACCATTATTGTCGTTACAACAGTTTATAGGGTGAATAAAGGTTGACGTAGAACACCTGCTTAATTATCTTTATTCTTCCGTTACTAAAATCAGCATTAAATGAATCGTAAACTAAAATGCGATGACACAAAAGGACTTATTTTGTTCTGACATCATTTCAGGGGGCATGTCACACAATATCTGGACAGAAGTGAGCAATTGAAGCTCTGTCCCAGTTTGCCAGCATATTAGAAAAAAAAAAAAGAATTGTAAAAGCCAATGACAAATTATTAGAAAGTGTCCCACTTTATAGGCTCACCATGATTAACTCTCAAAAGCAGCTGCATTTGTTTTCTTCTTGTTTCACAGAGAGACTCTTGTTATTGTCATTAAGAACCGTATTTGGTATTACCACTGATGAAGGCCTGATACAGAATTTGTGAAAAAGGAATTATGAAACACTATCTGACAGCTATATGTCCCTAAGTACCTTGTGGACGTCAATCGGTGTTCCATGAATGCACCCTTTACAAGATAGTAAAATTCAAGCAATATGCCCTCTGTAAAAAAAACATTGTCAAACTTTTTGTAAACCGTACACCACACGGTAAAACGCTATGTACATGTACATGTAAATAATAACTTTTTACTGTTTTGATGCATGCTGTCTAGTCAATAACCAAAAACTATGCCATTAACTGAACCAATAAAGATATATTAGGACGTGATATTATACATTTTGCACGTAAAGTAACACAAGACTGACATAAAAAAAATTTAACAGCACGTTAAGGTTGACAGGATCCTTTTCAATTTTACAAGGAAGGCTAGCCTTTACCCCTTAGCCTTTGATCGGTCACATACCTCATAAACTTATCAGAGATGTGCTACCAGAGCAATTATGCTTTAGCTTTGGAGTGCAAATCGTATTTAAAATACTAATAAAATTATATAATATTTACTGAAGTATATGAGGAGAATCGCTATGTAACTATTTAGAAGGAAAGGTACATTTAATGATCTTTTACTGATAACCCACTCAATGTACAGTAACTACGCTGCTATAGTATGAACATTTATTCAGTCTGATTTTTGCGATTATTTATATATATATATATATAGATATATATATATATATATATGTGTGTGTGTGTGTAAGAAAGCACTTTAACATTGTTTGCTAGCATCTAAAACACTTTAGTGCATTCTGAGCATCACACCATGAGTACCATCTGGAATCTGATCTATGCATCACTACTTAGAATCAGAGCTGTTGTAGAGTATATCTTCTACAGTAAATTATTTTGCATATAACTTTTTAATACATTAAGATGTATCATATTGTATATTTTCATGTTCTCATCTGAAAAAAAGGAAGTTAAAGAAGAAAGAACGAGAAGCAACTCACCTTCACTCGTAGCTAACTTGCTCTGTCAACACAACCGTGTTCGACTCCCTCAATTTATTGCAGTCTCTCTATTTTGTTCTGCAATAAAACAGTAGTGGGCCAAATTGAAACCTCTCAAGCACTGCAGTCATATTAGCTGTCACATTAAATCTGTTATTTGGGTGAGGTTTACAGCGGCAAAGAGACGGATGCCCTGTCCGTGGTCCATGGTCATACTTATTCTGTAAATAGTGAGGGTGACATTCAAGTTACTTTTATGATGACGGTTCATTTGCCATTGCCAGGGACAATATGCCAGAAACCTCACCTTTGCCAGAAAACAAAAGGATCTCATTTATGCCTAGTTTACTAGTTGTTAGTTACACCATCTAACACCATCTCAAATGACCTTACATTAGGTGTAAAATAAGAAATAAGCTAAGTGATGTTGGAACGTACCACAATAGCAGCACTCATCTCAGTAGCTCAACATATTTTGTAGTTTGTATGGCGATATGAGAGCCTATGTTCAATTCTTGTTTTAATGGGACATGCTATTTATAACGATGATGCACAAATAAATAAATTGATATTATGACTTATGTGTTGGGTATGTAGCCCCAGAAGGCAGGTGCCATTTCACATGCACAGGAGCTGACCATGCTTTATATGCCCAGACAGCTTAGCAGCTCTCACAAACATAGTGGTCACATTATTTGGGCCCAATAAAACACATAACCTTATGACTTGACACTTTGTCCCATTACCAATAGAGTGCCGCAGGGATGACGTATTTTTGTAGGCCAAAACCTGGCAATTAGTTAGCATTTTAGCATGCTTCCATCAACCCTAAGCTAAATGGCTGAAATAAGATATTTTTTTAACATAAAGACTGAAAGAGTTGTCGGAAGCTTGTGACGGTGACTTTAAAGTCATGTGACAGTGGTGTAGTTCATTTGTAGCTCACGTTTAGCTTTTTACTTCTGGTGATTTATTTAGACTTAAGAATTGATAAAAGTTGCGTTCGTTTGTGAGGATTATCTTGAACAAATAGTGTAAGAATCATAAAGTATTGTTGGTCACTAAACTTAATTATTTCATGCAATTATCCAAAAGCCAATGGAAAAATCTTATTTTGTCGAGGGAACCAATGTGACCAGTTATAACTTCCAGTGTAAATATATCATCACTGCAGCACTATCAATATCAGAAAATATTTTACCAACATTCATGGTAAAAATTAGCTTTACATCTCTCTCTTTTTTTTTAATATTATCATTAATCTTCCAGGTACATAACTTCTCCGCCTTGTCTTTGTTTTATTTGCAGCCAGGCATGTAGGCCTACTGGCCATGGGGACTAGCGGGAGATTCCCGGTGGGCCGACGTGCTTTTTGGGCCGATTCATCTCTCTTTTTTTTTTGTCTTACATCGTACAAACTCGTACATCGGCGGCCCAGTCGTTTTGTTTTGTTTTGCTTAATTGGCGGCGCTGGGTTAGTGCCGGGGTGCTTCTCATTTCTTATTTGTGCATCCTCGTTTCCTTTACTCGCTTCCTTACCCTTGCGTCTCAGCACCACCCCCTGTAGCAGGATAAGGGAAGGCTGCAAGGAAAGAAAAGGAGGACGGAGGAATCGAATGAAAGCTTTTTTTTAATAGATTGGAATACTTGAGCACTCGAGCGTCACTCCACAGTGTCATCAGCAGCGCTAAAAGGATCCCCCCGTATGTTGTTGAAGTTTGTTTATTTAAGAAATGAAATGCCCCAGAACCCCCCTAGAAGGCCCGAGGTCCACCCACCACAGTTATACCCCAAAATCCTGGTATTGCTAGGCCAATGCAGCATAGCTTGTTTTGGGATTCATCACTGTGGAGTATAGTTCAATTGTATTAATAAATGATAATTTTGTATATTTCATATGTTAACTCTCACTCGTTCCTACTCACTCATTACATGGCATTAGTGGTTTTAAGGAATAGGAGTTGGTATACATATTCAAGGGCGTGCAAAGATGGTGTTTATGATCATATGTTGTGGGCCAGTCTCGGCCAAAATGCCAGGGCCGATTTTTTTGTCCCAGTCCAGCCCTGTTTGCAGCCTATGCTGCAAGCAAAGCTTTCCTCATTATTTTATTTTTAAATATTATTATTATTATTATTATTATTCCAACTTTAACATACATAATGAAATAGGAACATACAAACAATTCTTCCTATCTTACATTTACCTCAACATTTTCCTTTGGTTAACTTAAGCGAGGGACAGCAAACAGCAAATGCACGATATTTGAAATACCACTGGTTTGGTGGAAGGTCACAGAAGCGCGGTAAATCCAAAATTGTGCGTGGGCGCTGTCTTGTTTTCACTGGATGATGAGAACACTCCGCTCATGCACATGGAATACCGGTATCCAGCAGGTGTTGTTGCTTTATAGGAGCAATGACGAGGCAGTGTTGATTTCAGGTGAGCGTATCACAACCTGTCAGTCAGTAGCAACTGTGGGAGACTGTGCTAACTTACATTGTTCTAACCCCATCTAATGAACATTCCTTAATGCCAAAGTTCACTCAAAAGGATAGTCATCCTTATTGACTTCAAATGAAAGTCATATTTGCTCATGTTGTTCCAAACTAGTACGTATTTTTCTCCCTGTGAAACACGCAAACATTTTATTTTTGACGAATATCATGCCCAATTTTATTAATGATAGGAAATGAGGACTCACTTCTATGACAGAGTCCTATGTTTGCGGGTCTGTTTAATATTTTGGAGTATAGCAGCCAGTCTTCATTCACTTACAAATATGCTAAAAAAAAAGTGGCCCGGATATTCTTTAAAACACCCATATGGAAGAACACCAGTCATTGAAGGGTCATATACAAATCTGAGTTTGTCCCTCCTACAAATTCAGTATAGTAGTAGCCTATGTAAATGTAAACCCAAACAGTAGGCAATATATGTAACAGGCTGTTGTATTTGTTATTGTACACATGTTACAATATTGTTTTGTTCATTAATGTATTCATTGAATTATATTTGAAAAATCTCAGACTACTGAAAATAAAAGGTTATATTTTTGATTTGGTTAAACTTACATTCTGGATTATGCTCTACACACTTGCTTTTTGACAGTGGTTTCAGTTTCAACTGCTAAGAAGTCAGGGATGCCTACTGACATTGGAGTTGTTCATGTAAGGGACCATGCTGAGACTGGAATTGAGTGCTGGGTCATTCCGCGTCAACTCTACCATAGGTCCCCGGCTCAAATTTTTAATTTTATGGTGAATGACATGCATACTGTATTTGAAGAAGAAAGGAAAAATATGAAATGTCATGAATGAATATTTATTGAGTAATCTACTATTTTGTAGAATTTTCACCTAATATTTGGAGCCAAATTACAGGGAGGGTAAAATGTATTTAGAAAGATGGCATTATATTTTATTTTTACACATAGATAGGTAGGTCGATTAGTAAAATCAGTTGACTTTAGCCATCTTTGTTGCATTATGCCAAATTTGGTTGATTTGACATGGAATGACCTTCCTGCATGTCAGTTGGATTTTTCCAAACTGTAATTTCAACCAGAAGGATAATGCTGGAGAAGTGGAACGTGTGCGATTTAAATGTTTGTGAAGCTTTTTCAACCACGTTCAAGAATATTGTCTAGTATAGTTAACTGGTTCAACTAGACTGTATTGAAGATGATTACAATTTCAAAGAATAATATGGTAGAAACTGTGCTTGTCAGAAAATTTATTTGCATATTTAGAAGTCCATAAATACATTCTAATTGCTTATATTTTTTGTAGTACACATTGTGGTATAGTAGCAAATTGTATGTGTTCTCAATTGCAATCCACCACAGCTATTCATTTATATGCATGCACTGCCCTAGCTTAAAATGTATGCATGAAATTAGTTGTGGCAGAAGCATATCAAAAATTCCCACATCCAGCAGAATGAAGATCAATCTGAAATATAGAGAAGAGAAAAGAAGAAAGAAGATTAATTAATGAAGAAAATTAATGACTACAACCTAGTCTATGCAAACAAGATTGGTTGATTTAAGAGTTTTTCATTTTTGTCTTATACTCCACCCAAAAATGAAGATTCTGTCATCATTTACTCACCCTCAAGTTGTTGCAACCCTGAATGAGTTTCTTTCTTCTTCTGAACACAAAGGAAGATGTTTTGAAGAACGATTGGAACTTTGGCACCATTGACTTCCATAGTATTTTATTTTTTCTACTATGGAAGTCAATTGGCGCTTTTCCACTGCATAGTACGGTACGGTTCGGTTCGGTACGGCACGCTTTGGCGCTTTTCCACTGCATAGTACGGTACGGTTCGGTTCGGCACGGCTCACTTGTGGTGCTTTTCCACTGCATGGTCCGGTACGGTACGGCTCGCTTCGGCTCGCTTTAAATGGTACCTGGTCTGTTGAGGTTCCAAGCGTACCGTACCGGTACTAAAATGTGACGTAAAAACACTGCAGATCACTGATTGGTCAGACAGAATCGTCACTACCAGCGTCATTGGACACTAAACCCGCTAGATTTAAATAACCAGTAGACAACAGCCAACGCAGTAGCATCTGTTTTTTAAACTTTAAAAACAAATGGCTGAATCGTGTTCAGTGGACGAGGTGCAGACGTTCCTCTCGTTGGTTGCCGAGGAGCGGATCCAGCGAGAGCTGGATGGGGCAAAACGGAATGAAAAAGTGTTCCAAGAAGTAGCTCAGCTCTTAGGCTATCACCGGACCTACAAGTGTAGGGACAAAATAACGATCAGTCCCACCCACTTTGAAGAGGTACTAACTGCGGTGGAAAAGCAACCGAGCTAAAGCGAACCGAACCGTGCCGTACCGAGTCGAGTCGTACCACGCAGTGGAAAAGCGAAGCGAGCCGAACCGTTCCGCGCCGAGTCGAACCGTACCGAGCCGAACCGAGCCGTACCAGCAGTGGAAAAGCGCCAAATGGTGCCAAACAACTGTTTGGTTCCAATCGTTCTTCAAAATATCTTCCTTTGGGTTCAGCAGAAGAAAGAAACTCATACAGGTTTGCAACAACGTGAGGGTGAGTAAATGATGACAGAATTTTAATTTTTGGGTGGAGTATCCCTTTAAACCTTGGTTTCTTTGTAAAAGCTGAATAGAAAATCGCAAAAGTAATTTTATTTACATGTGTAATGCATTGAGTTGACCATGGCTCTCCATCTACTTTTTCAGAGGGCCAAATTATCCAAATGAGAGTTCATTTTTTTGAGTAATTATCAGATTGTAGCATTTTCATTTTCAGAAGTATAGTTACTCAAGCTTAATTTTTTGTTGTTGCATTTCAAAATAAGTCATATTGGAATTGATAATGCAATGCAAGTACACACATCATTCTTAATTTTGTCAAAAGGGACAGTAGTGTAATCTGTCTCGTAAGATTATTTTTTTTATTTTTAATTGCAGACCACTGAGTGCTTCTGAACTCACCATAGAGATTTGCACAGAAAGCGCTCTAATGCATTAAGTGGTGCAGCTAATTTGTCTAAATCAATCTATGACCGCATAAAAATGATTGACGGTCCATATTTGCCCCGCAGGTCACATTTTGATGGGCTCTGGCATAGGCTAAAGACCAATCTGCCCATTTGCATTACGTAACATGTTCTAAATTATTAGCAATGTGACTCGTTCACAAAGGACAAACCAGTATGTAAATCAGGTGACACTGGTAAACACTTCTCAAGCCTCGAAGTGATCACTGCACCTACCATACCTTTCACTTTTAATGTTGAAGAACATTCTGCCTTGCCAAATGAGTTGACTGCCACCACTTTGTACTCGCCACTATCTTCAGGGCGAACTCTGAGGATGTACATGGAGCAGACACCAAATGCATTTGTGATGTAGTAGTTTTTGTCTGAGTTGATGCAAATCCCGTTATGGTACCATGCAATATATGGGCTGGGGCAGCCGCGTACAGCACAAGTCATGTAGCACTGGTATCCTTTTGGTGGAGTGTGGTATTTCAGTGGAACCAGGATGGAAGGTGGCCTTTCTAAACTGATTACAGGTGGCACAGTTGAGGGTGCTACAACTAGTTGGTAGGAAGGAAAGAAAAGTTCTAAGTATTTAGCATTGTGCAATACAATAAGTTACATTAGTAGTGGTCCTGCTACCCACCTTTATTGCTGTTTACGCCCCACGTTGGTGAATCTGAAGGATCAGAAAGTCCCATATCATTTTTTGCATAGACTTTGAAGTGATATTCTTGACCTGGTTGAATGCTGGTAGTGTAGGTAGTACAGAGTAGGTGGTCGGCTATTGTGCGCCAAATGCGTGCGTTGGAGTTATGTTCTTCCACCATGTAGTGCAGTCGGTCATCTCTCTCGTGGTCTGGAGACAGACCCCACTTGATAATGACTTTACCATAAACCACCTGTTCTAGCTCCACTGGGCCTGGAGGCTTGGGTTCATCTGCAGCCGCATAAAGAGCAATTTCATAGTGTTAGGAATATTTATCCAATAGTTATTTTCACTTATGAGTAACTCTTTGTTTCTTTGACAAATGCTCTTTTAGTCTCCCAGGGTGTGGTCTCACCTAGGCATAAAGCAGGCAAAATTACTTTGGACCCTGCAATGAATGTTTGCAACAGGAAATAAAGTTACACTACATGATGTCTGTTTTTGTTGAATTGTATTAAATAATATTCAATTAAATTTTCTTGCTGATTTTATAGACTGTGAAGTTTAGATCCTGTAGTGATGCTATCCAAATTTGCAGGTTAGAGTTCAACTTGAATTTTTGTATGCAGCAAAAGACTAAACCATTTACATATAGTTGCATTCCCACTAATATGAATGAATGTAAGTAAAGCAAAAAAAAAAAAAAAAAAACCTACTGTGATCACACTTTTTTTATAGTTTACATAATGTAGGATGATTTTACCTGTTACTCTGACCTCTATGTCAAAGCTGGCTTGCCCCATTGTGTTTTTAGCCACAATGGTGTAGACACCAGAATCGTCGTACTTTGAGGAGGGTACGACAAGTGTGCACGTGCCATCAGAATGAATGATCTTGTTCCAGGGAGATACAGGTTCACCATTCTTAAGCCACGTAATGTCTGGTGGTGGAGTGGCCTGTGTGTCAAATATACATTTTTGGAAGATGATGATTGACTACATAGAGGCAAGAAATGTGTAAAATGTGTATGTCTAGATGTGCACTTTTACCTCATAATCAATTTTGATTCTGATAGAATATCCTGACCTCACGACCATAAAGTCTTCAGGATCTTTGAAATGGGGCTTCACTGGAAATTGGTAAAAATCAGTAAATATGTTTGCAATTATCCCAGAGATTATCTTGATTTCTTGATAATATGTCTGTGACTTACTGTTGGGGTTTTTAGCGCATACCATCACAGAGGGAGCACTGTGTTCTCCAGCCCCAGACATATTAATGGCTGTTACTCTGAACTCGTACTCTGACCCCTCAGACACATCCTTCACTGCATACTTCAGAGCTGTAAAAAGTAGAGACCTTTTATTTTATCTTATATTTTGAGGTCTTTGAACTTCAGGCAAGGTGCTTGCTAATGGTTATTTATTGATTTGCCCTAGCAATTGGTTTCCAGACTCTTAGATTTTTACAGTCTAGAATTGAAAGTCAGTGCTTTTCATTGAAGGTGGAACTTTGAAAAAAAAAAAAATACCTTTGATAGGTTCACTAACTGGGTTCAGAGTCACCCACTGGTTTGTATCTTTCTTGCATTTCTCTAGCTGGTAGCCCAAGATTGTATTCCCTCCGTCTGTCTCTGGTGGAGTCCATGTTAGGTTAATACAGTTTTTGAACGCACTGACCACTTTCGGTGGGGATGGTGGACCAGGGAACACTGCCAACACATAGTAATATAGGCATACATATTAGATGATTTAAGTCCTTCTCAATATGGAAAATTCAGCAGTAAAGACTTAAGGAGTTTACTTAATGAGCCAGCCATGATTTTTTCACTCTCCATCGCCTCACTGATGCCCTCAAGATTCTCAGCATAGATGCGATAGATGTACCTCTTGCCAAGGGACACGCTTCTATCTCTGAAGGTTAGATGGTTAGCTGAAATATCCCCAATCTTTTTCCAGGTACTCTGCCCAACCTGTTGACGCTCAATTATGTAGTTTGTTACTGCTGAGCCACCGTCATCCTTCGGGGGATTCCATTTCAATTCAAGGACTGCAGATGTGCTTTCATTCACTTCTAGTGGGCCTCGTGGTGGACCTGGCTTGTCTGTCAGGGGCACAGATGTGTGTTACTTAAAATATAGTAACAGTATACCTTTAAACAGGTCAATTGCAAATATTGTTCTCACCTAGTACAATAAGACTTGATAAAGCCTCAATAGAACCAAAAGAGTTTTTTAGCTGGATTTTGATTTGACCAGTATCCGATCGCAGGCAGTCTTTCATTTGAAGACGACTGTGATTTGATTCCTTCACCACTTTAACTGAACCCCCATCATGAAGCTCAGAGCCTTTTTTAAACCATTTAATCTCCAATGAGGCTTGTGGAGGAAATGCCATCTTAAAAGATGCACTCTGGCCTGCTTTCACTATCACAGGGTTAGAGAACTTTTGCAAAGCGTCTGGGTCGAATTCTGGAAGATCTGGGAAAACAGAAGCAATATACAGCAGAAAACATTATTGTAATTTCCAAACTGACAGTAACTTCATTCTGCTTTAGCCAAATGTAAAAAAAAGAAAATTGAATTGTAATTACCTCCCACTTTCACCATGGCCTCTGTCTTGCGACCATTAACCTCAAAATGATATAGACCTGCATCAGAATCATTGCAGTTCTTTATAATGAGCTTATGTGTACAACCATCTTTAGAGATGACCACTCCATCTTTGGAAGTCAGCTGATGAAAAAAGATTTACATGAATGTCAAACTCTGTCAGTCATGTCAGTGATATACTGCTACGACACACAAACGTACCTTCTTTCCATCTTTATACCACACACCATCAATTTTGTCAGTATTTAGTTTACACACTAGCTCTGCAGGTTTGCCGCGGAGGGCATTTTTGTCTGATAATCCGCTTGCGAAGTGCACTTTATCATCTGGAACGAATGCATTTGAATGAATTATAATAACTTGACTTTGAGTGGTAAGTTATTCATGGTAATTGAAGAATAAGCAATGTAGGCTGACAGAGTTCTTGTACATTTTTGCCATGAACATACCTGTACCGTCTCCACCAGATCCAACCGCTGATCCATCTGCTCCCAAACCCGTTCCAGAACCCTTTCCACCCTCTCCACTTCCTTCTGTACCCTCTCCTCCTCGTTCGTACTTCCCTGTTGCATTTCCTCCACTTCCGTCTCCCAAGCCAAGTCCTCCATGACCATCCCCTTCATCACCACGACCATCCACTCCATCACCACGACCATCTGCTGCGTCACCACGGCCATCAGTTCCATCATGGCCATCAGTTCCATCATGGCCATCCGCTCCATCACCACTCCCATCTGTACCCTTTCCACTCCTAGCTGCTTCATCTTTTTCTCTCTGCACTCTTGCCTGTTCTTCTGCCAGACGTCTTGCAAGATCACCTGCTCCATCCATTGCACCACCTCGACTTTTCCCCCTGGCGTTAGGATCCTCTGATGTGGCATAGAGAAATGATAGAACATTATTCTGATTCATATACATTGCAGTGCAGAAGTATGCTGACGATGGTAGTTTGTTTCTTTGTTCCTCTTGAAGACTTACCATCAACAGCAAGGGTGGCCCTGGATGATTTAATCCCAGCAATAGCCGTGTACACGCCCTTGTCCTCTTGGCTACAGTTCTTTACTACTAATCTGTGGCTGAGCTTGTCTTCAGAGACTGTGATATTGTACTTGTCTCCATGCTCAAGAGAGATGTCATTGGCACACCATGTGATTTGTGGTACAGGACCAGAAAAAACTCCCTCAAACACTGCATCCTGCCCCTCAACCACTTTAGCATCTTTTAGCATACCATCGAATTCCACATCAGGAACTGTGGGGAAATGATTAATGAAGCAGATGTATGCTTAAAATGCTTTAAAAAAGAAAAAAGAAAATCTAAGAATTAAATGCCTTCTTACTTGCTAAGGTTGTTGAGAAAATGTTGACATCCTCAACATCCACTTGGTAAAGTCCACTATCATCTAAGTCAAGATTGTTGATGCTAAACTTGTACTTATCACCAGTTTTCTTCATATTATGTTTAGAGGAATCATCAGTGCCATCACCATAATCAATCATTTCACCGTTCTGGAAAGAGTAAAGAGTTTTTTTTTTGTTTTTTTTTTGCTGTATAAATTGTTCGTTATCGATGTAAAACCAATCGAACTTACTTTGTACAAATACATATTACTGTTTTGGTCCTTAAGCTTCATATCAAACTCAAATTCAGCTCTGCCACTTGTCTTTACTTCAATCTGCTTCATGTTGTCAATGTTTTGAACCACCTGTAAGACATAAAAGAAATGGGATATAAAAAGTAAATTTAAGACTTTGCCGCATATTCTTTAAAAAACAACTAGAAATTATTATAGAAATTGACCAAAAGCACTGTTGCAATTACAGAAGTGTCTCAAGGCAGAGTTTCACTATCTAAATAAAAAAAAAGAGTTGAAATTGACTGACAACCCAGCATCATCATCAGATTATTAAATTCCTGACAGATACCTTTGCTTGTTCATCCTCCTTCTCCTTTTTCTTCAGATTAAGCTGTTTTAACATCCAGCGAAAGTCGGTGATTCCAAATTCATGACAGATGCGCTCATAATCTGCCTTTTTGGCACTTAGCATCAGTTCCCAGAATTTTGGATCAATCTCTCCCTCTTTCTTGGGTTTTTCTTTTCTCTTCTTGACAGTACTAGATGGAAGATTTTTTTTTTTAATTTCAATTAGAGAGAAAGCAGCTGTGCTTTTATAAGAGACATTTCTGATTCTGACAAAACATGATTCCTGGTGTTAAAACAATTACTTGGTTTTCTTAAGCATTTTCCTGAAGTCCTCAGGATCATTGGTTTGGCCATCTTAATCAAAACAGAAGAAAATATCATACAATATCAATACAAAATCTAAATAGAACACACTCTTTACATTCATTTATCATTTTAGGATGACCTTTGTTTGAGGATGTGCCAGTTTTCTTTTTCTTGAATCCAACTAAAAGACAGAGAAAGTAATTACCACAAGAACACATGCATTCAGATTATGCAACATATTCTAATTGCCTAGTTATGCACATTGGTAATATTATTGAATGTTGTCATTTGTTTAATGAAAATATGTTGCCTACCTGAAAATACACTCAATGCAGCTGTGCACACTGCTTTTCCAAATGGATTTGTAGCAAAGCATTTGTACGTGTCTGCTTGGTCTACTTGGACATTTAGTATCTGTTGTTTTCAACACAACAAATTAAAAATGTTTTTGCTGTAGAATGACCCATCGTAATATACTGCTCTGTAATGTTGTAATTTCAGATCCAAATCTTTGGAGTTTGGTACAATATCTTACCTCTAGAGCATGCTCTCTAGTCCTTTCATTATATCTTGTCTTATATTTTTCTGGATCAGACGTGTCACCCTTGTTGCGAGCCCATGTTACAGTTGGTGTTGGATCTCCACTTACCATTGCTTTAAAAATGGCCACCTTGCCTGCAGTGGAGAAAGGCAACCCATTCATCATTTCTGAGTTTTATGCTTATGAAGCATCTACTACCCAAAGCTACTACTTTATCATTATAGCTAAATTACTGCTCAACTAACACATAAATGTTTAATCTAATCTGCAGAATATAGTTTAATAGACTATATCAATTCTAGCAAAAATTTAACAACTGAGCAGAGCAACTCATTTAAATACGGCGTATATATATGCTTTTTAACTAGTAACATTTATTATTGATACCTTCTTGAACTGTCAAGGTGATTGGCTTCCTGCTGAAATCAGGTGTAGTTTTTCCACGTGGCAGTTCCTTGACGTACTGGGTGATCATAACCCCAGGCACTCTAGATCTCTTCTTGATCTCCACTTGAATCATTAAATCATGTGATTTATTAAAAACACTGTATGTTTTATATTTGTTAATAAGCCACCCATATACTAAATATGCATATGTCATTCAAAATTGAACTGCCAGATACACTGCCTTTACAATTAATATTCATTTAACCACACGAGGGCAATGTTACCTTTAAAGTTTGGACCAAAACATATAAAGGGGTATACAAATACAGAATAAGAAAACACTTTGAACCTACCTACCATAAATGTTGTAGGCTTGTGGGTGCACTTATTATATGAGTGTGAAAAGTCAAAATGGCAATTGACTTGAAACTGCTCTAAAATTAGGTTCTTAACTTAGCAGCTGTTGAGGTTTTGAAGTACTAAAAGCTTTAAAACACATGCAATATAGGCCTAGGCCTTTTGTCTGGGAAATATTTAATGAACATTTTACATTACATTACAACAGTATTTTGATTCAAATATAGCTAAGCTTACCCTGACCACCAGGAATCTCTTCTGCAGGCTGTGACATCTTCAGAATGTTTTCCCCTTGTTCCAATATTGTTCCAGAGGTCACTTTATGAATTTAGGCTGTATATGAAAATGTATATGAAAAAAAAAATTCTGTAAAAAAATAATTTAAATATTTTTTATGGCATTAGAACCAAGGTTAGCTTATTTAGTAAAACAGTAAGGCTTAAAAATGAAGTCAGTGATTGGCCTTTAATCACTGGGGTACAGAGACTAGAACACACTGATGATCCCAACCACTTGTACACTAATACCGAGACAATGTACACACACTAACTAGAAGTTGTTATGAAAGTAACATCAAAGTGAAATGGCAGAGAACAGCAAAGTGGAGCATGAATGTTTGTTTCTAAAGTGCCTGCATAACTATCTGAGTGTTCAGATAGTAATAATTACTGTGCTGATGCACCAAAAGATTTCTTTGTTTGGTAAATCCTATCCTAAAGTATCATTTTAACTACATTCTCAATTTTTTGCATGGATTCTTTTTTGCACTGTTTTCTCAGCGACCTATTCCTGCTGTAATCACAACTTGATTTTTTTGTTTTTCTCTAAATCTGCATATTTTTTCCTCAGAATCTTACTTTATTTAAATTTGTGGTACTAAAGCACTGTCATGATTATCTGTAATGTAATCTTGCTGTTAGTGACTATCATTGATTAAACTGTATGCTCTCTCTCTCCTTTTTTTTTTTTTTGCTCCTAATGGTCATCAAGAAGATGCATCATGCTGTGACCTTAAAAAAGTGATCCAATAAAGATATATTAAGAATTTGATTGGATGGATATCGTTGCGTAATTCTAGACTGGTAAAAAACTTATTGGCATTCCAAGATTCACAGGATCCTCAGCAATGCTTTTACAAGGCCAAAGGGGAAAGAAACAGTTATCCAACATTTGACAGATAAATTATGTGAGCCTTAAAACTAGTCGGTCTGCCTTGCTCAAAAACAAAAAGTCTGACACAATCTTCTGGTGCTTTGTAAGGGAAAAGAAGCGCATTTGAAATGACTTTCTTCAGTAGCTGAAGCAATGGCCCTCCACTATAATGCTGGGATGAAGAGGATCTGGGTTCTTAACCTTAACCCTTTATTCAGATTGCTCATCTTTCCTGAACATTTGTCAATCGATCTTGAGAGTTCTGGCGTCAAGCTGTAACAGTCTATCCAAAAGCCTCCCCTTTTCACTTTATCTCTCATTTTTCTCTCCAGTACACAAAGACAAAACACATTCAAACAAGATAAACATTTTTGCCTCTCGACTCGAGTGCGTTTAAAATAATACGTCTAGATTTTCTTTTTGAGATTTTATCTTGAATTAAGTTTTTTTGTTGTTGTTTGTTTTGCTAAATGACAGCCTGAGTCACCATTCTCTTTCATTATATGTTCTGCCTAACTTTTTATGTCTTCCATGGAAGAAAGTAAGTCATAAAGGTTTGGAATGATAGGAGGGTAAGTAAATTGAGATTGACGTTACTTTTAACGTCCAAGCTTCTTCTTCCCTGAACTTGAACTTTGTTAGTTACGTTTGATCACTTAAATTCACTTTGTTTTACTTCATTCTAATGAAATAGTGCCAAATTACTACCCACACAGGTCACTTTGTTTGACAAATTAAAATAATCCGTTTTAATAACAAATAATGCAGCGCTGTTTTACTAGGTCAAAACAATCATACTAAAATATATTTGAGTGTTGAAAGTTATGTTGTAACGCTACTCTGTGCGTTTGCTCTGTGGCTGCTATGAGACACTTGTTGCACACTGCAGCAAGCTAGATCGATATTAGAATATTATATAAATAAAAGCTGGATGACTTGTGTTGCTAAATTGCATGCAGTTCATTTTTAAAATATATTGTGTGGTGGAGAAAATGCTGTATTACTGTTACTACAAATAATGCTCTTTCTGATTTGGCTGTGTTGTTAGACAATTGTACAAACATGGTACAAAAATGTTCTGTACCCTGGCATGGTACAAACATGTTTCTCACGGTAAATCAAGAAAACAAGAGATTCAAACAATTAGACTAACCCAATAAAGGTAACCGAACAGTAGATCACCTGTCTGATAAAACACACTATATTAAAGCGTCTTCGGTGTTTCCATGGTTTCTACGGAAGTAAAACCGGGAATCGAGGGTAATGCGGATATGACGTCATTGACAGGCGACGCAACGACACGGGCCGTTACACTGGTTAAAATAGCTGATTTCTCTGGATTTAAACTTTATTGGAAGTCAACAAAATATATAACATTGTGAAAGTGTTTTTTTTTTAAAAAATATTTTAGTTCATTTAAGAGCCGGCGTGGATGGGAGTGATTCTCATAACAGTAATTAATGATGTATGGCAGTAGATGACCACTTACTTGTTAAATGTACATCTGACTTGCCATTGTGTTAATGAAATCATATGCTCAAGTTTGCTCCCAGTGAATGAAAACCAAATTTGTTTCCATTATTTGTTCATAGTTCAAGGACTGATGAAATTCATAACTATAGGTGAACTGTGAATTTCTAATGGTAAATTATTCCTGATGGTTCCCTGTGTTGCATGTCAAAGAAAATGGAAACTCACCTTTAAAATCCCGCTGCTCCTTCAGCTTCTGCGTTAAGAACATTTGGTGGACTGAATGGAAGACTTCTATGCAGTTGAATCAATCAGCTGTCACATTAATGCTTTTATTTGAGAAGCTGAGGTGGGGGGGATGTCCAACCCATGAAGCAGATATTCATATTCAAATATCATTTTACAATCCTGACTAAATGTGAAGTTAACTTTTATTGTTTTCTGTTATGTCAGTCATTGCAAAAAGGTTGTTTAGCATCTTATTTTGATGTTTATCTTTTGAATTGAAGCGTATCTCAGTCTTGCTGTTGAAAGTAAACCATTGTTTAATCAGACTGATAATGAACTCCATCCCAGCAGCCCACTTATTTTGCATAGCGGAAATTTTAGAATTATGATTTCAGTTGAAGAACCACAGAGAGAGAGAGAGTATTTAGCATTAAAGTCATACATGTGTCCTAAATGTAGACACTTGCTCTATACTGGCCTTGCCATTTACAGTAGGAGGACGATCTCTTGTAACCTGACCGAACATATTGCATGTTTATTGGACAATTAAAATGTATCTTAAATGGCACTAAAAATGAAGACATTATTTGCTGGTTAAGGTGTTATATGAACAAAGTAATTACTTGTGATTTTCGACTATTGCATTGCGATTTATCTGAACATAAAGCTTTTACAGATATAATTATAATATTCAGGGGCTCATACTGATATGAACGTGGGGTCTTGTAAAAAATATATATTCATGTGGTAGCATATTTCCCTCACAGCCCCGAGGGAAGGTTTCATTTTACATTGACAGGGATTTACCAAGCTTGACATGCCCAGACAGCTTGTCTCAAAGTCTGGAGCCAGGCAAATTGCAAGGACCTGAGCTTGAGTTAGCCTGGAGACATCTCTGGACTTCTGGAAACTGAGTACACAAACGTCACCCTACGACCTGAAACACCTCCCAGTGCCACAAGGTATGCAGCAAGGTATTTGTTACATTATTTGTTTATTCTTTAGCAAAGTCATTGATAACTTCATCACTTTTGTACAAAGTCTATTGTACTAGACCCAGGGCAGGTGATCTTTGCGGTGGTATGGTAATGTACTTGAACCTTTTTTGGTATATAAAATGCATTGTGCTTCATATCTTAAAGCTTTTGTTGAATAAGGGAAAACTGTAATGACCTATGCTCAGATTTCTTTTTTATGCTCAGATTTTGGTAACGCTTCCTTTTACAGTCCTGTTACCCATGTACTTACTATGTACTTATTATAGTAATTATAATTACTGGATAATAACTAGGTACTAACCCTGAACCTACCCCTAAACCTACCCCTAACCCATGTACTTACCTTATATTAGCCAGTACTTTCTAGGTAAGTACACTGTAAGTACACATAAGTACTGTACTGTAAAAGGAAGCGTTACCCAGATTTTCTTCAGAGAACACAGTTCACATTTGAGTCTTATAGCTATCACAGTTAATAAATAGATTCTGATTTTATCGAATAAAATATCACAAAGAGTGATAGATCTATATGTCTTCCAGGCCGATACTGTAGTGCTTTTCACCATGCATATTCAAAGTAGCTTTACGTAAAATAATTCACTGTATATTGGTTTGCAGTACACAAGCTAGCTAAGGGCCAGCACTCTGAATTTCAATCTGTGAATAAATCAAAAAGAATGAAATCAGAATAAAAATGCATGTCAAATGTGAAAATAATCATTACATCTAACATACCTTTCACTCTTAGTTTGGTGGAACATTCTGCTCTGCCAAATGAGTTGGCCACCACCACTTTGTACTCGCCATTATGTTCTGGCCCAACTCGCATGATGTACATAGAGCAGACGCCATATGCATTTGTGGTGTAGTAGGTGTTGTTGGAGTTGATGCAGTTGCCATTGAGGTACCATGTGACATGAGGTGTGGG